TTGTCCGTCCCCCAGGGAGGAGGTCACATATAGTTCCTTGTAATCAGTTCCCAGGAGCCCAATTTTTAAAACAAAATAATGGCAGCGTGAAAAAACAACCAATCTACCAACCAAAGACACAAAAGCAGTTCATAGGTAGGGCACTGATCTCTGTGAAAGCAAGAAGCTGTGAGCAACTTGTTTACAACCAGACTTTAACAAGCCCCCCACAATAATTTGTAGACAATTGGAAAATTTTGACTATGGGTTAGTTGTAAGGTAATACAACGGAACATTCTTATACTTTCTTGGTTTGATAATGGCTTTTTGGCTATGTCTACATAGATTTAGAAATATATATTGAAGTATAAAGAAGTCCAGTCTTAAGAGATTACAAAAAAAATAGAGAAAAGGGGGGGGGGAGATGACGCAAATTTATCGACTATTAATGATGACTGCATGGGAATTCAAATGGGTAGTGTAAGTGGTTGTGTATTGGGCTACTAACCGCAAGGTCAGCGGCTCCTCAGGAGAAAGATGGGGATTTGCACTCGTGTAAACACGACATGTAAGCACAACATGAAGAGTATAGTCAATGGCACTGATTTATACAAGTAGAAACTGTTGAATTGGTAGAATTTTGTTGTGTATATTTTTTGCCACAAAAAATAATAATATTATACTAATAACAATGACTACAAGGAAGAACATGTTCTAAAATTGATTGTGGCAATAAATGTGTAACTTCTTGATATGATTGGGCTATTGAATTGTATGATATGTGGATGAAGTGCCAATAAAAGTTTATAAATTTATTTCTTTTATAAATAAATTTAAAAAAAAATTTTTTTAAAGGAACTATTTGTTATTAGCTGCCAAAGAGTTGATCCTGACTCATGGCTACCCATGTGGACAGGGCAGGGTTACCCCACAGGGCATTTCGTCTTTTAGGGCTGTGACTTTCAGAAGGAGTCCATCAGGACAGTCTTCTGTGGCGCCCCTGGGGAGCGATGAGCCGTCAACTTTCTGGCTAGTGGTTAAGAGCGTCAGCGTTCGTGCCATGAAGGCCTTCTGAATTACAACCACTACATAGTGGGATTTTAATGCACCTTTCTTTCAAGGAGGACAAAGTATTTTACACTAACAACAACAAGAGTAGCTAACACTGTTCATATTTATCACAGGCTACACACGCTAATCACTTTGTATGGATTAACTCATCATTCCATGTCAGGTGTACTTTACCTGATAGACTTGGTCTGTAGTGCTGTTCTTTTTCACCCTGACTGTGACTGTTGTCCCGTCTGGTAATGCTACTCTTAGCTCCACGTCGGACACACCGTTGTAGTTCTGGGAGGGAAACAGAGGCTTATTCTCTCTGTAACATGCTAGGTAAACAAGAACCTAAACATGTGATCGAGAGCAAGCTCTAATGAAAGGGCTGGGAGGCGGGGAGGGGGCGTGGAGAACGACAAAACTTAAAGTCAGTACATCTACAAGTCATCCAGCTGACGTTAGTCTGCAGCAGAAGTTAACCTTTAAGATGAACAGGGAGGAAAGAAATATCGTGAATCCAACATGTTCACATTTCAAAATAGGAAATATGTGAAGCAGTCTAGGTCAAACATAGATGAGATGTTTGGGTTAATTCCCTTACTCCATTTGGAACCCAAAAACAGGGGGGGGGGCGCGGCGGAGCGGGGAGGGGCAGTGATAGCTCCAACAAAAATTCTCTTGTTTGAAATGGTTAGGCATCCTAGGTGGGTTCAAGTGTCTCTTACGTTCTTTGCTGAACTCTGAAGTAAGCACAGTATTTTTGAAAGGAATAACATGCAAAGCTCAAGGGTCTGAGTTAATCTGATGCACAATTTTCTTTTAGCAAAGATACAATTCTTATCCAAAATTCAAAAGAAATCCTTTTTTAAAATTGCCTTTGATGGTTAACACCTTCCTCTAACAGATTTTTTTACTTTGTAATTCTCATTAGTGAGAAACAACTAAGAACATTTAACACTTAAAAAAAAGTAATACTCTTTGCTTAACACCATTGTAAGCATTACTTTACTCTAAGTCCTGGAACAGCAGCTAAGCCACTATTTAAAATATCAGCACTGAATACCCACTCCCCAGTTCAGTGAACACTGAGTAAGCATCTCTAACGCACTCGGCACTGTGGTGGGCACTGGGGGCTGTAAAGGGGGCCAAGCCGCCCTTCTTTCTTACAAGGAGCTCACTCTAAAAGAGGAGACACAGCAACTGAGTTGACTTCAACTCATGGCGGACCCATGTTTCTCAACGCAGAAATACGTCCCGTTGGGTTTTCAATGGCTGTGACATTTCTAAAATAGACTGCCAGGACTTTCTTCTGAGGGACCGACCACCTTTGAATTTAACTGAGTACTTTCACTCTTTGTACCATCCAGGGCTTCTAACTTACTCTAGAAAGCTAAAACTGTGAAGTAATGATCTGATTAGAAATGACAGACCAACAGGGTGATAACGGAGTGGGACCGACAAATTCGTAATGAAATGAAAAACCCATGACTTGAGCCACCACATGAAAGGCGCCTTCAAAGAGAGGGTGGACGTGGCATGAGCCTTGAAGGACAGGCAGGATACGTGAAAACATTTTTTTTTTTTAATGGTGAAACATATCGTTGCTTAGAGAGCATAATTATCTATTTCTTCCCCCACATGGAGCGGAGAGGTCAGTAGTCATCTGAAGGTTAGGCACCTACCTCATCTGATTCGGACAGAAATTCCTGCATGATGTCACTCTCACCAATGACTCGTATCGAACACACTAGGAAACAAAGAAATTGCTGTGAGGTCCGAAAGTAAGAACAGGAAGTCACAACCACATCCATCAAGGTTAAATACAAATCATCAGTAGCAGGTAACGTTGAGGCATGCTACCCCTGGCATACGGGATTTTAAGACATGACAAGGCACTCGCCTAAATATGGTCTAGAACGAAAGCTGCAAGGACGCAGCTTGTTGAAAATGTCAAACAGGCCAAGGAAGTCACTTAGGGCGAAAAGAACTCTGTAGCTCTAAGTTTTCATTGTGGTGTGAACTATTAGCAAGTTAGAACATAGGTTTGTTTTTTTTTGGGGGGGGGGATACAGTACAAGGTAAAGTAATCAGAAGCTAACTAAATACAAAACTGAAATACAAAAGGAAATTATTCATTTGGCCCAGGAACAGATCAGTCAGAGAACCTTAAGCATGTACAGCATTGGGAACAAACGGGTAGGCAGTGCAGTATTCGCCCGAGCACACCTTTTTACCTCACTGACTTGACCTTCGCCCCCACCCCCCACCCCCAGAAAGAAAAAGAAAGGCAAGCAGGCAGCTACACAGTTAATTGTCCAAATCTAAGAAAGTTAATTTCCTGACACTCTCATGAGAAAGGTAAAGTATTTTACTTCCATTTGATTAAGAAAATCGTACCCTTTCTCATTTCCCAAGGGCTGTGTTTAGAGGCAATTCCATGTTAGAAAAGAACTAAAAACGAACAAGGTAGTTTCATTACCTTCTATGGGGGAAATAGGTTTTCTTCATGGTCAAGTTTCTCTACCAAAGTTTTTTTAAAAAATTCAACTAGGTCAATTAGTTCTTCTACAAGGACACAGAGACATAGGATAACAGAAGCCGGGTAAGACCATTATCCTAACTATTAAACTACTATTTTAAGGAAAACTACAATGTCGCTAGCAAATAGTGTAACTATAATATAATGAGGCAAGATCTTTTCTCTGAGCTACAAACTGAACTACCTTCTTGGGAAGATTTGTGGCATTTTTCTGCCATCTATGGGTGATTAATAAATATTCAAGCATCCACAAACTCCTATTGTTTGTTTCGAAGGTCCTGGATAAAAGGCATATTCCGATACTATGGCCTACAGCCTGCCTAAAAGAGCTGTAAAAGGAACTTTTAAGTTGGATATGCAGGTGAGCCAAGAGGCATTTTAATGAAAATGTCTTTAGTACTCACCACTTACTACCATACTCAATTCAGCATAATGGTGAGTACATATGTATGTGTTCACCACTAAATAATACAAGCCCATAAATTAAGGCCCTGTAGCCCTATAAATCAATGCATCAGAAACAAATTATGCATTTTGCTATTGTTGGTAAATGTGTAGTGAGCCTATAAAATAGACTACCACTCATTGTATTGAATATTTCTGTCCAAAGTCTTAAAAGTTCAAATCATTAAACACCTCCCGTCCTGGCCTGCATTACACTGAGTCGCAGCAAATTTAGCTCTGACGCTTAGCAGCTGCTGAATGCCTATACCCGCGTCCCCTCAGAATGGTACAATGCAATGCGCTGGCTTACCTTTTTCTAAATATTCTTCCAAGCCCCGACGTCGGGCATCTAATTGTTGTTCTGATAACGAGAATGGCCACTTCCCTGGAAGTCGGGGAAATGTAAAGTTGGCAAATTCTCTCTTCAGGTTCTGGTGTAGAATGGCAAACTCCCGGTACCGCTTTGAACACAGCTGCCTCCCTGCCATGTAAACATTGTATACCTGGTGGAGGGAGGAGCACAGAAAAGTCTCTTACACAGATTAAGTCACAGAAACCTGTCACATCAGGTTCAGGTGGATCCAGAGACCCCGTGCAGGCCACTTTAAAGGAAGACGTATTTTTAACAATTATGTCACAAGTTATATGTACAAGACAGGATATCTCCTTCTTAGAGACATGATCTCATTTTGACTATAAGAAAATTGTCTCCAATACATCGTGTTAAGTATTTTCAAAGGCAATTAAGGGTGGGTTTTATTTTCAGAAAGTTAAAAGCCATTCAAAGTCAAGATGAATGAGCAAGCAAGTGAATTTGGATGGGACTGTAAGAACTAGAGCTGATAGTGATGTTTATGCTAAACTTAACTAAACCTAATGCCGACAAGTTAATTGTGACTCACAGCAACCTTACAGGACAGACCAGAACTGTCCTGCAGGAACCCCAAGGCAATAAGTCAATACAGGACAGACGCCCATGTCTCCTCACAGCAGCTGCTGGGCTCGAACCCGACCAACCTTGTTTTTTTCTGATTAGTGGCTGAGCACTAAAGTGAGAGAGACTGATTGATTTGCCAATTCAGCATTTTAATAGTGGCATTTTTGCAAAAACTCCTTTCCTGAAGCCTGATCTTCCTCAGTTTCATTCTTTTTCCTTCCATATGAAGACAGGGCCAGCAAGGACAAGGGTGGAGAACGCCTGTGTCCTAAGAGTCCCCCCTCGGGAGGAGGAACCAGGCAGAGGTTTTTGTTGAACAGATGAATGGATGCATGTATACACAATTCATATCCTCTCATACAAGGAAAGAGGTAGAGTCATCTTTAAAAATCAAAGAATTCCCAGTTACTTTGCATTCTTAGAATATACCAAATAATGTAGAAATGGAAAAATTAGCCCCCAAATTCCATTTACTGGCCTAGCAAAAGTCAAATGAGAATTTGAAGTGTGCACGAAACAGAAGATCTGCTCAAGAAACCGACTTAATCCCCAAGTATAAACAGGCCTTTCCCGCCAGCTCCAGAAGACCCCCCACGCTTCTTTCATTCAGGGAGCGTGGACCATGTGCAAAAACCGTTCCTTCATTCAAAGCTCCTCTCCTACCACCCTCCGCCTGACACCTCCCCAATGAAAATGTGGGCCCTACTCACTCTCCAACCGCCTCCAGGGCATGTGCAGTCCAGGCCAGTCAGCTTTCTTCCTGTGGTTAACACAGTCTCATAGAGGATTGTACGGGATCACACTTGTTAACTAGTCTTCCCATCACTGCCTTCTAGAGCACAAGGGCCCAGAGAAAAAGGGTTCCTTCACACAAAACCACATATTCTCGTAGAAAGATGCATGCTTCAAGAAGTCTTATCAGTCGGGTCTTGTATACTTTGCTCTCAAACTAAACTTTCCAAATTCCCCAATGACTGCACAATTGCTTTGCTTAAAAAGCAAGTCCATACCCTGCTGGTGTTGTGAAACCAGTCTGAGCTAGTTCTTTACACAAGAAAAAAAGAAACTCTAACTAGTTATCATCCTGGGAATGGGAGAGTGGGTCTGAGAAAGACAATGTACAAGGAGCCTGTGACCGTGCCTCCTCAGTGGTGTTCGTGTAGTTTCAAGTCCAGGAAACATGTCCTAGGGCAGACAAGCCCTGCTGCTTGAGAGGTCCTTGTGAAAATTCCCACAAGGTCCCTAAAAAGGATCTCAACCTTCAGTTTCTAGTGAGGTGTGGAGAAGAGCATCAGACAGCCTCTCGTCCTACCGCCCCTTCTCAATGAGAAGTACAAGGGGTGGGCGGGCACTGCACAGAAAGAAAGGCTGCTCATGACGCAGTCATATCATTCTCTAATGTTGGCGTGATGGCTTCCGCAAAAAACCCAAAAGATTCTTAAATTAACTGTGCTTCAATGAGAAACATGCAAAAAGATATCACAGTGACTACTTCTTTCCTTCACTCTGTAAGTTTTAACCAAGACTTTTTACTAGTCATTTCTCGCGTTCAGGCATGTTCATGTGCAAAAAATAAGTGACTCACTCCATCTCTGTAAGTGTTTTACCTAGAAGTTTAAAATGTTCATCACTTCAACAAGAGGGCAGTTGATCACCACATAACAACACACACACCCACTCGAGGGAACAAATAACAGAAATCGTGGGGGGAGGGAGAATGGTCAGTGTAAGACATGAAAATAATAATAATTTAATAATTTTCCATTTATCAAGAGGTGATGAGGCGGGGAGGGAAAAAAGAGGAGTTGATATCAAGGGTTCAAATGGAAAGTAAATGTTTGGAAAATAATGATGGCAACTTATGTACAAACGTGCTTGATACAATTGATGTATGTATTGTTATAAGAGCTGTAAGAGCCCCCAATAAAATGATCTATCAATTAAAAAAAAAAAGAACAGAACAGTATCCAACAGGCACTAATTCATCACTGCACACTATCTGGAGGCAGTGCTGCTGAGATCTCTCCACCGTAGTGCAAGCCCTCAGGTTGGTTTGCTCACAGAAAGAATTACACGTAGTCTAGTTTGCCTTTAACTGATATTGTTGTTAGATGCTGTCCCCTCGGTTCTAACGCCTAAGCACCCTAGGTACAACAGAATGAACAGTCACCAGATCCTGGGCCATCCTCACAATGGTGCTTATGTTTCAGCCAATTGCTGCAGCCGCTGTGTCAATCCACCTAGTCAAGGGTCTTTCGCTTCTTCGATGCCTTTCCACTTTACCAACCATGATGGCCTTTTCCCGGGATGGTCTCTCTTGATGATAGGGCAAACTGTGTGAGACAGCCTTGCCTCTATGGAGCATTCTGGCTGGATACTTTTTTCAAGACATATGAGTGTGTTTTTTCCCTCCCTCCCCTTACGACTTAGCTCTAGGGAATATATGCCAGAAGATGGTAACTGATGTTTTTACAATGAGCACAAACTACTCCAGGGGAAGCGAATCTAACAGTACAGGCCTCTCTCCTTTTAGCGCTTTACATTATTGTGCTGTGCAGATCCTGCCTTAAAAACAAACACACACAAAAGACAAACTGTAGGTCTGTGGCAACCCTGCATCGAGCAGTCTGTCGGCGCCGTTTCCAACAGCCTGTGCTCACTGCATGTCGGTCACACTTTGGTGGCTCTCACGGTATTTCAAGCCTCAGCATAAAGCTCCTGGCACACTAAGTAGACCACAGAACAGGGGATGGATATCTTTTATATGCACTGGGAACCAAACACTTGGTGTGACTTGCTTTATTGTGAGAGTCTCCTTATTGCCGTGGTCTGGGACTGAACCTACAATATCTGAGGTCTCTGCTCCAGGTCAAGGATCGTTGTTTTGTTGGTTCCCTAACTCCGCTCCCCAAATTTCCTACATGTTTCAAATGATAACGTCTCAGTCCATAAAGGATCTAAGTATTAAATGTTCACTTTCTCAAACCTCTAATACAATCAGTAGAAACAATACTACTAACACAGAGAAGAGAACTTCCGTAAGATTTAGCTGTTGAAGGTAAACAAGCAGCCATCTAGCTCAGAAGCAACAAAGTCCACATGGATGAAGCACACCAGCTTGTGTGATCACGAGGTGCTGAAGGGATCAGGTATCAGGCATCATCAGAACAAAAAATCCTATCATTGTGAATGAGGTGGGGAGTGCGGAGTGGAGACCCAAAGCCCATCTGTAGGCAACTGTATACCTCCTTACGGAAGGGTCGCGGGGAGGAGACGAGCCAGTCAGAGTGCAGTGTTGCAATGATGAAACACACAACTTTCCTCTAATTCCTAAATGCTTCCTCCCTCCCCCGCTATCATGATCCCAATTCTACCTTACAAATCTGGCTAGACCAGAGGATGCACACTGGTATAGATAGGAAATGGAAACACAGGATTCCAGGGCGGATGATCCCTTCAGGACCAGTGGTGAG